CACTCGGAGTTCAACAAGCTTGTTGTCTAGTTCTTTGTTTCTTGAGATCATCTCTGTTCATGATCGAAAATGCAGATTTCTTCTTCTCCTTTTACCAAATGGACCAATCTCTATATGATAAGATCTAGTAGTAATAATCATCATCAATGGAGACATAACTATAACTTGAAACAGCTTTTCATTCCAAGCTCATGTCCAAACCTCTGTGTTTCAAACTCTCAACACCTTCCTTTGAATCAGAGTGTTGCGGGGATAGTGTTTGGAGGAGGATCAGACTCTGAGCTTTATCCATTGATCACTAAAACATGATCCAAAGGAGCAATTCCAATTGCTGCAAATTAATTATAGACTTATCGATGCAGCCATCAGTAATTGCATCAACGTAACAGGGACATCACCAAGATCTATGCAATAACTCAGTTTAATTCCACTTCGCTCAACTCACATCTCTCTAGAACTTACAGTGGTCGGGTTAGATAGTAAAGGAGGCTATAGCTAAGTTTATATTCTTTCTTCTTCTTTTTTTCAAAATTTTGAATATTCCAAGCATTGGTATATAAAAGTAATCAGATTGCTTTTATGAGTTATTGTTTACAATTTCACGAATATGAATTAGTTATAAGCTCTAGTCTTTAGGTCGTATATAACTTTATAATCAAATCAATTTGATTCTCAACTGAACAGGGGCTATATTACTAGCTAGTATAACTAGTTAAATACATAATCGGACTTTACAAAACTTCAAGAGAGAGCGAGAGAGGTGATTTTACAATTGTTAACGATAATGAATTCCACGAAATCAATTTATTCAAGTTAGAATGGAGAAAGCGGTATTGGTAAAAAGTGTATATATTAAACTTTGCATGAAACAAAACAAACTTTTGATGAGAAACTTCTTCATCTCAAGCTGAAGACTCGGACACTATTTCAGTTATTTTAGTTAATGGGAAATTTACGTAAGTATTTATTTTATAGTTTGCTACTAGATGAGGGGTGTGAATGAAAAGCATTGTTAGAGTAAAAAAATGTGAGTGGAAAACATTTGGGACAATTGCAAAAATGTCAATTTTGATGTGTCACTTTACAAAAATGCAAATGATGCTCTCATGAGATGGAATAATATATCGGAAAGATGATGTTTTTTTTTTTGTTTAATTTTTAAAGACTTGTTAAGTGGTTCAAGCTAATTACTCGTAGGACCAAACTCATGTAGTATTTTTTTCTTTTTTGTTGATAAATAAATTACATTTCAACAAACAAAAAAAATGCCACAATGGGTTGTCCATTTTCAAAAATACCACGAATTATAGATTTTTAAAACCTAAATCTTAAAATTCTAAACCATAAAAAATGTTTTGACCCCTAACAAACTTTAAACCCTAAAAAATTGTCCATTTTCGAAAATCTCACAAATTAATGG